GAAATAATGAAATCGATGCAAAGTGTAAACCTGTAAATTGGTCGTTAAAGGCAAATTGGATGGTTCCACCCACCAAATTGGACTCCCGGAGGGTATTAGGGACCATGGTAAACATTTCGACAATTTTTATATTCGGGCGAAAAAAAAGTCAAAAAATTCCAAAATTGAAGGCTAATATCCACGGTTTTTTTGAGAAATTTCGAATGTTTCGGGGCCCGGTGTCGAAAAGCATTGAGATTTTAGTGGATACATTTCGGGGTCATATAATGTCGTTGGAACCATATATTATCATTATATGTTGTCATAAATGTTCGTGGTAATCTTGAGTTAATGAAATCGGTGCGAGTTGTAAACCGGTAAATTGGTCGTTTAAAGGCAAATTGGATGGTTCCACCCAGCCAATTGGACTCCCGGAGAGTATTAGGGAACATGGTAAACATTTCGGCAATTTTTATTTTCGGGTGAAAAAAAGTCAAAAATTTCCAAAATTGAAGACTAATATCCACGCTTTTTGAGAAAATTTGAAGGTTTCGGGTAGAGCTGTCAATTCGGGTAAACGAGTCGGGTTTGGGTAGGTAAGAGTGGATCGGGTCAACTCGGGTCGGGTTAATTCGGATTAATTCCATAACTATGCGGGTCAGCTTTGGGTCGGGTCACGCTTTAGTCGGGTCACGTCAGGTCATACCTCTTATCGGGTTTGGGTCGGGTTAATAACAGATCAGGTTACATTCGAGTCGGGTGAACAATAGGTCGGGTTTAATTTGGGTTTTCACGGGTTAAAACGGGTTAGGGTAATTCTCGGGTTCGAGTCGGGTTATACTCAGGTCGGGTCATTCTCGGGTTTGAGTTGGGTTCGGTTCAAGTCAATAATTTGCGGGTTATAATCAGGTCGGGTCATTTTCAAGTCTGGTCATTCTCGGGTTCAAGTCGCGTTCGGTTCAAGTTAATAATTTGCGGGTTATAATCAGGTTGGGTCATTTCCAAGTCGGGTCATTCTCGAATTCAAGTCGGGTTATGTTCAAGTCAATAATTTGCAGGTTACAATCAGGTCGGGTCATTTCCAAGTGAGGTCATATTCGGGTTCAACTAACTATAAACAGATAATTATCATTTTTATCAAGCTAATTGTTTCCTTTGACAATAATATATATGGCAATATACTAGGGAACAATAGACCATAATTTAGGAAGATAATTATCTCTTTTGACCATACAACCAATATATACTATATTTAACTCTTAAATTTGAGAATGATGCTCCTTTCTTTTGCTGGCTTAGACCGACTTGGTCTCCCTAATCAACAATAATAAGGTGGTCTAAATTGCATTTAAGGTGATTTGAAATCGGATCAGGAACAATTTGGGTTGAATTTAGGTCAGGTCAATAACAAGTCATGTTAATTTTGAGTCGGGTTAGTAACAGATCGCGTTGAATTTTTGGGTCGGATTAGTAATAGGTTTGGTAAAATTCAGGTCGGGTCAATAACAAGTCGGGTTGAATTTGGGTCAGGTCAATAACAAGTCAGGTTTGTAACAGGTTAGAAACGAGTCGGGTTAAATTCAGGTCAGGTTAGTAACAAGCTAAGTCGTGTTAAATTCGGGTTTGACGGATTAAAACGGGTTTGGGTCAATTTCAGTTCAAGTCGGGTTCAGTTGAGGTTAATAATTTACAGGTTACATTCGGGTCGGGTCATCTCCATGTTCGGGTTCAAGTCTCACATACTCGGGTCAACTCGGGTGTAGGGTTGGTTTCAAGTCGGGTTTGGGTCACCATTTTTTCGGGTTCAGATGGGTCGGTTAATAATCGGGTTTGAGTCGGTACTTCGGATCGGATTAACTTTTAACAGCTCTAGTTAAAAGATACCCCTAAAATATTTAATAAGAAAATACATAATTGTTATATGCTAGAAATTACTAGAAAATAGTCTTATATTATTCTTTATTGTATATACCCCTATTTACATGTAAAATAAATTTCATTTATATTTGCAGGGTAAATATCAATGTCGTTAATTAAAATTGATGTCCTTAGGGATACTATTTGCACTTACTTCCTTCCGTTTTCTTTGACTCGAAAAAGTCAGTTAAATTGTTGTTTGGATTGAATCCCTAGATCATCACACGTTATCTCACTAAGACTAAAGTGTTTGTTGATTGCAAAGTACTACTTGTATATAGTTTTGAAAGATGATTATTGCTTTAATTTAGAGCTCAACATTCACACAAAAAATTGAACTAAAAGAATCATTAAGAAAATTCAACAAATTAAAAAGTCAATTTGCTAACTCCTAAGACTATTCAATCATAAAAAATAGCACGAATAGTATATTGTCAATATATTAATTATTTAAGAAATGGTCAATTTTTTAATTATATTAGACAACTACTGTGAATTTTCCCACGTACACATACATTTTTAGTTTCCTACAAAAACCCCATACTACCATTTCCTCCTTTTCGTCTAGGTCGCTCTTCATTCATCCTTCACCACCATGCTCATCATTTTCCTCCTCTTCTCATCCTTAATCAATCACGTTTAACCATCAACATGAACGTCTCGTACCTCGCCCTAAGACGACCATCACCGCCTCGACAAAGAGGCTTCAGAATCCGGCTCAAACAGCGGGCCGCACGACTATTTCATAGGGTTACGGGCCGGGTCACACGGGCTTTTGTCCGGTGCTGTTCCAAGCTGAGGAGAACATTTCTTAAATTCGGGCCGGGTTCGGGTTATGTCCGGGTCAATGAGGAAAACCGGGCTAGGAGGGCACCCAAGGGTCACTTAACGGTGTATGTAGGAGGGGCAGCCGAGGCGAAGAGGGTGGTGGTGCCAGTGATTTACATAAACCACCCGTTATTTAAAAGTTTATTGGAGGAGGCACAAGAGAAGTACGGGTTTGATCATCCGGGTGGGATCACAATACCCTGCCCTGTATCCGAGTTCGAGATGGTTAAGTCCAGGATTGCAGCGGGTCGGGCTCAGAATGGGCCTTTGCCTTGGCTTGGTAGCTCCCATTGCTAACTAGGTTTTTTTTTTTTCGCTTTTAAATTTTTGTTTTGTTGATATTATATTTTAAACGTTTAAATGTACACCATTTTATATAAAAATGCTAGGTTAGCTATAACATATGGAGATAAACTCATAAAAGTGCTACGAATAGGATAGTAATATGGAGTAATAAATTAATATTGTAATACCGTAAACACACAAGGCTTGAGGAGTTGAGGAAATAAAGTTTAGTACTCTTTTCGTCCCTTAGTTATATACCTAATTTTCTCTATTGTATGAGTAATAAATAAAAGAAATAGACATTTAATTAAGGGATGAAGAGAGTATTAGAAGACTAATACTGTACATCTTTTAACGGTTTTAACTCTTAAGCCTATATTTATTTAATTTGTTGTTGCTTGTTGGTAGCAAATGATACGAGTAACAGGCACCAGTATTGCAGATTTGTGATTTTAATCATGTTTCATAAGTTAAAAAAGTCCTCTGACATTAAACTTTGTACGGAAAATAAATTAATGTTGAGACCAATTCGGTGTATTATGCGTTTTCTCGGGTTTTGGCCGGCGAAGATACCGTATAAAACAGCTGCCTCACTAGGTATATATCCCATAATTTCATAGTTTAGAGATATGATTTTAATATTTTAACCATTATCAGTTACCACTAGACCAATAAGTAACTTGATTGATTTGTAATGTTATACTTAGATCATCTCTAATGGTAAGACTTGAGGGACTTTTTTAGGAGAGAAAAAGTATTTTTTGCAAAGGATACCAATAATTTGGTATTTAAACTTAACAACTCAAAAAAAAAAAAAGTTGCTAAGTTTAATTTTTTGAAAAACTTACAATATGGATTTGGTGGACCATAAATTAAAAGTAATATACTTTAAAGAGTCTCACAATTGGGAAATTAGACTTTACATGAGTTGTTAAATGGAGAAGTGGCTTGGGTATCACCATTAGAGGTAAAAAAACAACTTATTTTGTATTTCAAATACGTAGTATTCAATACTTAAAGTTGTGTCTTATCAATGGAGATTGTGTTATAGTGTTACTTGTTATACCCTTTGGATCTCCGGATACACTGATACACCACAATGGGTCAATGGCACGATATCATGCTCTATGACTCAGCATTGAAGAGGGCTTGATGTTTTGGGCCAACTCTGCTGACAAAAAGGGCTAGTAAAGGCCCAAATGTACAAATGTTAATTTGGATATTTGGACCTTCTCTTCAAACAACTGAAAAGTGAAAACCATTCAAATTTCATTTGGCTGACAGGGTTGCTTGGGATGAGTCATGGTCAACACAAAATTCTATGAGTACCCATCTTCTCTTTTTTCATTTTTCTTAAGCAAAATTTGTCAATTACTACCGCAAGTTAATACTATTTTGTAAATTACTATCGCAAATTAAAAAAGTTGTGAATTACTACCGCAAAAAATTTTAAGATGTTGCGATTACTACCAAACCCCCATTAAACCCAACTATGACGTCATTATATCACTTTAACCCATGGTTAAAGCCCTTAACCATGACGTTATTATATCTCTAATCCATTTTCTTTTTTTGGGGGTGCTGGTTAAAGCCCTTAAACATGGTCAAACACGGGTTAAAGGGATATAATGACGTCATATTTGGGTTTAATGGAGGTTTGGTAGTAATCGCAACATTTTAAAAAAATTTGCGGTAGTAATTCACAACTTTTTTAATTTGCGGTAGTAATTTACAAAGTGGTATTAACTTGCGGTAGTAATTGGCAAATTATCCTTTAAAGATATTGAACATTAAAATTTAAAGATATTGATTATCAAAGTTATACAAAATTTAATTTTCAAATTTTATAAATAAATCAAAAAAAATAAATTAGAGTATGCAATACTACGTATGCAAAATTGCAATATACGGTATATAAGTATGTAGTATATTAAACCAACTATAAGCCTATGACCATATATATGATCGAATAATATATATAATCAATCATGTGAATTATTGAATAAAGGATTTTTATTGAATAAATTATTGTATGACTTGATACAAGTACGTAGGCACGTAACACATTTTTTTTTCTTTTACAGGAGTATAACATCCTAAAGCATCAATGAATTTATTACAAAAAAAAAAAAAAAAAAAAAAAGAAGGAAAAAAACATTAGATCATTTTTATGAACTTCATATTGTTTGATGAATTGTAGCAAATGCTTCACGTAATCACCTTGAATTAGTTGACTATGGGCACACTGTGTAGCACAACGGTCTCAACGGTCAAGCCCGGCCCGAACCCGAACAAGACACCCCAATCCAACCCTTCTCCTGTGGTAGTCATTTCTCCATTCATTGACCTCTTCCTCATCTCATCCAAGATGAACAAAACACAAGCACTAGACATGTTTCCATACTCACTAAGTACGTGTCGAGTCGAGCTGAGTTTTTCTTCCTTGAGCCCAAGTTTGGCTTCCACTTGGTCTAGGATTGCAGGACCACCCGGGTGAGCCACCCAAAAGATGGAGTTCCAGTCATCGATCCCTAGAGGGTTGAATGCTTCAACCAAGGCCTTCTCAATGTTTTTTGAGATAAGGCCCGGAACATCCTTCAGTAAATGGAAGGCTAACCCGACTTCTCTAAGGTGCCCATCGATGGCACCCTCAGAGTCAGGGAGTATTGTCTGAGCGGCCCAGACAAGTTGAAAAATGGGCCGCTCAATGGACTCTACTGGATCGGCACCTACTATGACAGCACCAGCCCCGTCCCCAAATAGGGCTTGTCCAATCATAGAGTCCAAGTGGGTCTCAGTAGGCCCACGGAAACAGATAACAGTAATCTCAGCACACACCACCAATACACGAGCTCCTCGGTTGTTCTCAGCGATGTCCTTGGCTAGACGGAGGACAGTGCCCCCGGCGTAGCAACCTTGTTGGTAAAGCATGAATCGCTTGACCGAGGGTTTGAGGCCGAGGAGTTTGGTAAGTTGGTAATCAGCACCAGGCATGTCTACACCCGAGGTGGTGCAAAAAATGACGTGGGTGATCTTGGACCGCGGTTGTCCCCATTCTTTGATGGCCTTAACAGCCGCCTCTTTACCGAGTTTTGGCACCTCGGTTGCGAGGATGTCTTGGCGTGTGTTTAGGGATGATGCATTGTAGTCGCACATGTGAGGGTTTTCGTTTAACAACTCCTCGGATACGTGCATGTACCTTTTCTTGATCATGGATCTATCACCTGTAATTATAGTCACGTAGAATTGTTAGCATAATAATCTTTTTATCTACATTTTTGCAACCTACTAGAACAAATCAACAAATGTATTGTTATCATGGTATAGAAGACGCCAGGATGTTATATTATATGATACGATAGAATAATTTTAGTTGTATTCTATGTAGTAAATAATTGCAACCTACATACTAGAAAGATGACTCAATAATAGATCATGGAAGCTAAGATTGAGAATGATATAATGAGAGTGTGTATAAAAGGAAAATACTTACACATGCGCTTAAACTTTTGCTTGAGATCAGTCATATGCTCGCTCTTAGTAACACGGAAGTAAAAGTCAGGGTACTCAGCCTGTAACATTTCATTAGCAGGGTTAGCGGTTCCAATGGCTAGGATGGCAGCTGGACCATCAGCTCTTTGAGAGTTTCTGATTTCTTGAACAGATGGAGTAGTCGCCATTTCTTAGAAAGATTATATTATTTAGTAACAAACAAAAGATTTATACACTTATGTTTTATCTTAAGTTTGCTTGAAGATAGTGAGTGATGAAAGCTTGATGAGTAGAAAGGTTTGTAGGGTTGGGGTTTATATAGGAAGCCTATCATAGAATATCGCATTAAAATAAAGTGGCTCTAAGAAGAATAAGAATTTTTTATTTTCTTCTATTTTGGCATTATTTTCTACACTGCTTAAGCAACTGACTGTTAGAAAAGTCTTACGACATAACATGCATATATTTTCAAGCTAAGTGACTAAACATTAGTATGCCACCTACCTTTTAAATTAAATGAATGTAATGACCTTGACCAATTTTTAAAAAGCGCACAACAATATTGAATATTATTATACTGTCCAAATATTAAATATTAAATATTATAAGTTACAACAACCACTTACATTACTTGAAATAACAAACGCCCGACTCATTGAATTTTAAACTAGTTTTTTTCCAAGAAATTTGCAACCCATCATTTATATTTATATTTTAAAGTATAAATTATAAAACTAGTCAAACTTATGCTACAGCAGTCAGCAGATAGAATTAGTATTATTTTTCTATAGTGAATTGAACAATTTGTAGCATGTGAGGCAGTGCGTTAAACGTTAATGCATGCATCTTCATTGCTTAACCCAGTAGCCCACGCACCTTTGAATATACTATTTTTTTCCTATTATACTTGTTTTTTTCTCTGTACTCTGTATTTGATATATATTTTTATCACAGCGCGAATATATAAGGGTTAAGTTGTTTAATTTTAAGATAATACTCATACGAAATAGGTTCGGATAACTCATACAAAGAGAATGAGAATTTTGGTTCACAAACAAAGTTCAATTCAAGAAGATTTCGTACTAATTAAAATCATTTGGTGATAGTATGGTAGGATTAACCCTACCTTATAAAGACATACAAGTATAAATATGTAGATGTATCATAGGCCCGAACAAAAAAATTCAATTTATATATTAAGCAGTTTGATTGATTGATTTGCCAATTTGATCTTATGATAATCTTCAAAGATTGCCAACTCCACAAGATCTCGACCCTTTTGTTGATAGTAAATTTTCTTATTTTCTTTCATATATAAATTAGGACACAGTCTTGCGAAAAAAAGTTCCTAATTTCATCTATATGTATCTTATCTTAAAATAGATACTCCCTCGCTTCATGTTTAAATAAATGAAACGTTTTGACTTTTTGCACTATTCATCTAATTCACTTTTACTTATGTTGTGATATATACATAGGAATCATTGCACCAAAAAAAAATATACATACGAATAAATGTAGTCATGTGGATACTTGTTGGAATCTTCTCATCAATGAATATTTTATTAATATGAAATTGTTATAATGTTTACTTATTGATAATTAAAAATATTTTTTTTATCAAAGTTCTGCATTGACATACGTGTACAAGGAAACATTTTATTTATTTAAACACGAAAGAAGTAAATAAAATAAAAAGAATAAAAAAAAAAATTTAAGATTGGAAGGGACAATTATTATTTATTGAACTGAATTGTTTACGAGAGAAGAAAATTAGAAACTAAACTAAATTAAATTGGACTGAACTAAACTGAATTGTTTATGAGAAAAAAATAATTATTACGTAAAAAGTAAACTGAACTAAACTTAAGACGAAGAGAACATGCCATGAGTCTTACAAACTGACCTACCACCAATTGTCAAATAACACACATACAATTCAAAAATGCACTAAGATATTTCTACGGAGCAATTAATACTTGTTTATATCGGAGTACTACTCCGTACTCGGTATTATTTTGACATACGCTTTTGTGAAGAATGCACTGACTTAATTTCTCAGTTTTCAAAAGTATAAAGAATACAAAATATGCATTTATTAACTTGACAATAGGTAGCGGTCAATTAATTTTTTTCCCAATTTAATTAGGTTGAATACTTTAAGTAGAATAAGAATTTGAACTTGTAAAGTTGTATAATGATCATTAGACTAGAAAAGAAAATGAAATTTACCCAAACCTCATCAATACATTATTATTAATTGCACGGACCTATCTCATTTCTTAGTTTCTACCATGTAAAAGAATATGAAATTTGCATTGATTTGACATTGGGGTCAATTGGTCAAATAATATACACTACTTGATCATGTTAAAATAAGAGTCACAAACCCTTTTTGAAAATTGAAATTACAAACTTTATCAATCATCCATAAGATAAAACATAGCTAAATGAGAATTTTTTAGGATTTTTTTTTCTGAAAAACTACTCTGTATACATTAAATTTTGTGAAAAAATTACCTTATAAAAAATTGTTTTAAGAAACCACTACATAAAAACTAAATGTTGTTAGTTGCTACCATATGTTTAATTTAAAAATGAAAGAGAAGGGGAATTAGGGGTTATAAGGAGGATATGCAGAAATTGAGTGGAAAAGGAGAAAAAATGGCTGAAAATGGGTCATTAAACATCTCTTATTCTATGCAATAATTTGGCAAAAGGTAGTTTCTTACAACATGAAGTGTGTTATAAGATAGTTTCTAAAAATATCTATTGTTTAGGGCTTTGTTTGACATTGTTGTTTTGTTTTCAATTTAGTTTTGTAGAAAACCAAAAACAAGAAACAAGAAAAAGCAAGGTGTTTCTACTTTTCTTTTGTCAGTTTTCAAAATTATCACGAGTTTTAATAAATTTGATTAATTTTTTTATTCATTATATGACATATATCATATGATTTTGAAAAACAAAAACAGAAAACCACAACGATGCCTATCGACCTTTTAAAAGGTAGTTTTTTTTTAGAAAAAATGACTTGCATAAGGTAGTTGTTCACAAAAAGTCCAATTTTTTTTTTATTAAATTTTGATGTAAACTTTTTAAAATTGATTTATATAGAGTTTTTTTTTTTTTTTTTTTAAAAAAAACAATACTTTTTTATTGATATTATTTATGCTTAATGTTGTATCTTAAAAAAAGAAAAAGAAAAAAAAATATTGTGATTAACATATTGTTAACTAGGAAATTTGCCATGTTTACAAACTACAAAGTAATATTACAAATGTTGGACATCTTGTTAACAGCAAAATGGATACATTTTTTTTGTTTCCCTTCAAAACTTTGTATCTTATTCCGTGGGCAGATGCTTTAGAAATCTTGAGATCCTTTTCAAAAAAAAAAAAAAAAAAAAAAACGCACACACAAAAAAAAGGTTACACGTGTTCCATATGGTATAAAATATTATTTGCAAAACAAATTAATAACACAAAATCAGATTTTGATGGTCAAAAAAAGGATCTTAAGACCAGGAACAATACTGCTTATTGGCTTATTGCTAAGCACAGTATATAATACTGTAAAATAAAAAGTATGGAGTACTACATTTAATTGAGCTAGATTGTCAATGATTGTGACTTGTGAAGTTGTGGGTAAGATTATCTTCATACGGGCTGTCGTAGGCTCGTTGCTCGTATCCCCCATTTTAATTGTCGGACCGGTATTCTTTTAAGGACTTCGGTCCTTTTAGGCCCAATAATAATATCTACGTCCAATATGATGTGTCAACGGTCCACACTTTTTTTTTATTTTTTTTTTGGAAAAGATCATGCAAAGTGTGAGAAAATAAGATTATGGCAAAAATGTAAATAAATCAACAACATTTAGTCAAATATAGGACCCATAGTTGTTGATTTATTTACAGAATTGTCATGTCGATTCAATAAAATTGCTAAATTATTCATAAATTTGTCATTTGATAAACAAGTTAATGGGGCTTCCTCGCGAGCCTAAACTCCTCACGGACACCACGATCCAAATTAAGGTTGTTTGTTCAACCCTAACTAGGAGCACTTTAGGTGAGGGAACCTCTTATCCTTCCTCCCCATCCCAAGTCCTCACTTCTTAAGGTTAAAAGATACTCTATATTACCTATCTATTAAGCCAAACTTTACTTGGTTGACCATTTTAAACAATTGTTAAAAAACTTGAAATGAGTATATATATTTTTGTCAAAATTTAATTTAAAAAAGTATACCACTAATTATCATCTCAAACCCACTAAAATATAGATGAATATAAGATAACTAGCTTATAAAGATTAATACTTTGTATAAGACTTGTAATCAAATTTTATCTACATAATTTATGTTTTTCTACAACTCTTCCCATACCAAAATCTACTAGTGATTCATGAACCAAGGGTCCAAGGAAATTCATAGTCATGTATAATTTGTAACTCAACCAAAAGCTTAAACTCATGGTTAAGGCCCAAGATTATGTTTTATACAATAACCCAATTTGTGCCAATAATTAACCCAATTTGGCAATAAAAACAAATTATTAGTACTTCAAATCTTATTAAAACATTAATCTTATACATTAATTGATCCTAATTAATTAACCCAATAAACTATTACCAATTGTTTTATTTTTATCACCAAAGAATAACAAAAAGGCAACTTAAGCTATCCCACCAAAAAGCTAAGCTAAGGCATCAATTCCCTTCCCACCCTCTTTCAAAAAATGCATCAATGAATCATCACAAAACAACATTCAAAAGTATAGAATTTCAACAACAAAAAACATACAACACTAAAAAAAAAAATGTTCATCATCATCAACCAAACTAATAACCATGCTACTCTTCTTCTCTTCCTCATTTTCCTACTTTCTTACTTCTCCTATACAAATTCCTATGTCTTCATCTATGCCGGTTGTTCTCAAGAGAAGTTCCAACCCTCGTCGCCTTTCGAATCCACCATCAACTCCTTCCTAACCTCGGTTGTCACCTCCTCCTCGCAAACCGGCCTCTACAACACCTTCACCCCAGGAGACTCCTCCCCTAGCACCTCTTCCTCCGACTCCCCGATTTACGGGCTTTACCAATGTAGGGGTGACTTAAGGCCTTCAGATTGTACAAGTTGCATCCAAAGTGCAGTCACTCAAATAGGCCTAATATGCCCTTACTCATATGGTGCTACCCTACAACTTGAGGGGTGTTATGTACGATATGAGAAGTTCAATTTCCTAGGAAAACCCGACAATACGGTCATGTACAAGAGGTGTAGCCGGAGCTCAAGTGATGATGCTGAGTTCTTCCGTAGAAGAGAGGATGTTTTAGCCACCATACAAGGGGCGGTTAACGGGTTTAGGGCTTCGAGTTCGGGTTCGGTACAAGGGTTTGGGCAGTGCTTAGGAGATTTGAACTCTAATGATTGTTCAAATTGTTTGAATGAAGCTGTTAAAGAGTTGAAGACACTTTGTGGTCAAGCTGCTGCTGCTCATGTTTTCTTGGCTAAGTGTTATGCTGAGTATTGGGAAGCTGGTTACTATGACTTGTCCACTCATAGTTCAGGTAACTTTACTATCATTTTCACTACTTAGATTAATTAGATTTTTATTATTGCATAATATGTTGTTAGTTTTAAAATTTTAATAATTTAGGGTTCGTTTGGCAATACTGTGCTTTTCTGTTTTTTGGTTTTTTTTTTTTAAAAAAGTATACTCCGTATGATATATGTCCCATAATGAATCAAAAAAATTTAAACTTATTAAAATCATGATAATTTTGAAAATTATCAGCAGAAAAGTGGAAACACCTTTTTCTTGTTTTCCTATTTTTGGTTTTAAAAAAAAAAAACTGAAAATTAAAACTGATGCCAAACAAGCCCTTAGCTAGTATAAATATTTTCCTTTGATTTTGTACAAATATTTTTCTTCAGATCAAATTGAAGGGACAAAGTAGACTTTTTAGTACACTTAATTATGTGATTACTTTCACTTTTAGTTTCATTCATTTTGCTACTCATACTTGAAAATGAGTACTAAGTCAACTTTAGACCTTTAATTTTAAAACGAGAAGAGAGTAATGTACTTTTTCACTTTCATTTTAACTTGCAAATTCCTCTCTAAGTAATTATACATTCATGCATACTTTTTATTGGGAAATTACAATTGATGTGATAGTTATAAATTACATAGTAATAATTTTCTTAATTATATGTTTCTTGGCTGCTTGAATTTTAAATATAATAAGTCGTCCACAAATCAAATTTAAAGTTTAATATATTAAAAAATTAACATCTTAATATAAGACATTAATATCACCTTACAAAAAAATAAGTGCCTTTTACAATCGACAAATCTTGAAGAATCATTGTCCATCTAAGATTTCTCCATATGTATTGTACTTTTGGACATTTTGTCATCGTGGAATACAATCAATACCCTACACTAATTCATAAATTCAAACACTTAAATTCACACTACATATAATAATGGACAAATAACTGCATATATTAATTGGTAAAGGTGATTAATGTTTCATGCTAAAATTTAGTATAAAAGTTGGCATTCATCATGATTTTTAGATTATCTAGGATGGAATATTTCTAGAACCATCCTCCCACTACCTTATAAATTACATAGTGTATAGTGACTAAATCTAGTGACCAAGAACAAGCTAGAGATCGAAGATATTCATTTAGTTAAAATTTTGAAAGACCAAAAATATAAATGGTCAAAAACTATTCATAATACTTTTTCTATAAAGTAAAAGTATCAAAGCATATTTTTGATACTACTTTATTTATTTCTTTTAAATTTGGTCACCTTCACTCTCTTGCATTGATAGTGCCCTTTCCTTGGATTATAATTAATCTAATTTGTCTTATCGCCTTCAAATTTTATTCTTAATTGATTATTCCATTAGTTTTTGATCGTAATCCATGTACTTTTTGATTTGGTTATCATTACTTTAGCATGAATGTGGATGATAATAATGATCATTGTCTAGCTAGATTAATTTAAACCATTAATATGGAACCTTTCAACATTTCTAGCAATAATTGTGGCCAGTCTTTTAAATATGTATGGTGGGTTCTTAATTTGGCCACACACTCATATTACTTGCCCAAGCAAAAGAGAACAATGAACCATAGTTCTTGACTATAATAATATACTCCATCCGTTTCATAATGTTAGTCCCATATACTAATTTGGGCGTTTTAAAAAGATCTACCCATATTGAATATATTTCATTTATAACTTGATTTTTTTTTAGAATTAATTAATTTTTGATTGATGACATAACTCTAAGTAAGGAAATATTTACCTTAAATTATGCAATTATGACTTATGCTTTTCTAATAAAAAAATAAAAAAAAAATCAAATAAGGTAAACTAATCATGTATTATGGTGTACTTTAATGTTAGATTCCAAATATATTTCTTTTCTTATTTTATGTGATTGATTCTATATGGGACTAACATTATGAAATGGAGGGAGTAATATATAATAGCTAGTACAAAGCTACCAATTCAAGTCGCTTAGATATACGTACTTCAAAGAAGCTAAGGAACCATCACTATTTAAGATCGATAATATATTGGTATATTACTTCATTTGCCTCTAAATAATGAGTCGAAATCCATGTCTTCTTGATAGATTGTTTCGATATAGTAGCCTACTGTAAACATTGGCGGACCTGGCCTTTTGCATGGTGAGTCAAATGACTCACCAGGCCCAAACAAAATTTCTGAGCTTTTTTTAAAAAAAAACAAAAAAAAAATTATTTTCTTTTGTTGATTTTGTTGTTGTTTGTTTGGTAAACTTTGAACCTTTTGTTAATGTTGTTGGGATTTTGGTGAAATTTGAACCTTTTTGACCATGTGAATTGTACTCAGTGTTTATTTAGGGTGTTTATTGATGTCAATTATGTCTGTCAAATTGTCAATACACCATTGGCTTTGGTAGATTTATATGGGGTTTTGCATATGTGCTGATTTGATTGGCGATTCGGACGATTGCTTATGATATAGTCAACCCACCCTAATGATATAGTCAACTATGTCTGTCAAATTGTCAATACACCCTAATGCTTGTAAAGATTTTAATCTTGTCAATTATTAGAGAGCTAAGCTTGTCATGTTGTCAAATTTTTTTTTACATATTTGGTTATCGATTGTGACTCACCAGTCGGAAATTCCTGGGTCCGCCACTGACTGTAAACCGACTTTGGAAATTTTAAATTTTATTCTAAATTGCATCATTTTTAAAGAGTTTTAGAGGATGAAAGATTACATTATTGAATTGATATACATGGTAGACTGCACCTATCGATCGTAAATTATTTTTTGTTTGCTTTCTATAAAATTCAGTTGTGGAAAACTATTATAGGATAAAAAGAAGAGTAATTAATACTAGACATAATTGTACTTTTTTTATTTGGTTATTACTTATTAGCATCTTTGTGGATGTTAATGCATGATTTTTGACTAACCTAAATCAAACTATTTACCATTCATTTCAACATAAATTTGCATCAATAATTTTGATAATTAATTACGTAATGTATGGGAGAATATAATCTTAATTTGGTCACGCTTTTATATTACTTGTCCAAGTATAAGCGTACAGCAAACCACGATTATTAACCATACCATGAACTCAATAATTCTTATCTCAACGTACCTAAATAATAAGGTGTCACATTTATGTTAGGTTGTTCCAAAATAAATACTTCATATTCGGTTCCTTTCAAAAAATAGTAAACTATACTTATAATGCAAGCTCTTCTTTTCATGCACCAAACCACTTGTTTTAGGGGACTAATCTAAAAGGTGACTAAAGGTGTTTATCCACTTATAACATATAATTGCACCAAAGTTGCTACCATCAGACAAAAGAATATTTTTATGCCCTACATTAGAATGTATTTAGTTCTTTTTCATTTACAATTAGAATATTTTTACTTTATTTATTTATTTATTTTTATGATGATCTTATGATTAAATTACTCTACTTGATACATATGTATCATATAATTGATGACATTATCTTGTAAAAATGTAAGATATTGTATGTCGCACCTTTAGAGTTTTGTTGATATAACTTTAGAATCAGTAGTGGTCTTGAGCTAGTTTTAGCACGCTTCAACTTTTTTAGGGGCATAGAGTTCTATATTAATTACGTAAATGAGTTGGTGATCATTGGACACTCCAACTCAAACTACATTTGGCGTTTAAAATTAATTGTCACATTTTGTTTTAGTTAGTCATATAAGTTGTATGATTACTAAATCATCATGATTTATATTTGAATTTATTAAGACTAATTGTAATTTTCCGTTCCTTGTCTCCATGGATGTATAGAAGCGTCACACGATGATGAAGTTGCAAAAACAGTAGCTATTATTGTCGGAATCATCGGAGGAGTTGCAATTTTGATCGTTCTTCTATCCGTTTGTCGGAAATCAGCTCCCGGTGGCAAATAAATTTGTTTAGTTTTTTTTTATTAATTTGCATTTTGTTGAATTTTGTCTTGATGCAAATTTTCAAATTAAAAGAAGCTAATTGCTTGATCAATTCATTATTTAATTCAATTTTAATCTTTAAAGTATTTTAATTTAAAATTAATATTATGCGGAGTAGTTCTTTATTGTGTAATAAATAAATTATATGATTAACAACTAAAATTAATTTGGCAAGAAAAAAACATTATTATATTAAAAATATAAGGGATACTATATTACTATATGCTATTGACATATTTATCATACTCCACTCTTCAGCTGGTATAAAGTTAGATTATATTCCCTTATATTATCTTCTTAAAAGGGCAGCAACAGTGATTCTCTTCGATCTTTCAAGCCTTACCAATTCAAACAAGCAATTTAGTCGTCCTTTGTTTTATTTATTTATTATTATTATTATTATTTTTTTGACCCAAAATTATTATTATTATTATTATTATTATTATAATAATAATAATAATTATTATTATTATTATTATTATTGCAATATAACTATATAAGTATGCAAGGTGTACGTTGTACATATTAATGGGAATTTATGGAACTACCATGTTTTCTTATAATGCTTCATGTAGATTTTTATATATTATCGCCTGTCAAACGGGCAATTAAAATTAAGTCATTAAGGGATAAGTAATAGCCTTATTTGGCCTCAAATTAAAATTAAGGCTTTGCGTTGGACAAATGAATCTTAATTATTCATTATACACTAATATGTTGAGAGGGATGATGATGAATTAGATAAGAAATACACAAAAAATTCATGATAATATACACAATTTATTTTTTATTTTTATATTGGTAGACCAGATAAGAAGAATTGTCATATTAAATTTAAAACTTGTACAAGTCAACTTGACTTAGTACGGAATTGAATCCCTTAACTTCAAAATTGAAACTCTAGAGAGGTGCAATTTATATCATTACATCAAACTTTAACTTGGTATAATATAACGTACAATCTATAAAGTTTATAGTGAAATTTTTTATGTGATTACTTATGAGAAGAAAATCATACATGTGACATGTTTTCTAATTTATACAAATTATTTCGATGTAATCCATGTATACAAGTAATACAACTCTTTATTTGAATTTACAACTCTGCTAATGAATTATCTTGCTATATAATCTATGACTCGTTTTTGCCTAAAGGCCAGACGTAAAAGGTACACCAGTACTAGACAACCAAGAATCACCAGCAATAAAATTTTCAACAGTAAACTTCCTAGCCTCGGAAGGACTTGTTATCACATGGTAACCCGGCCAGTTAATCCGATTCGACGTTGATGACCCGGGACCCGTATTAGCATACTCCCCATAGTATAGAGTGCTAAGGGCAAAACTGCCATCCCACTCTAGCCATCCTTTTGGGTCAACTATATTGCTAAAATATGTCTTCATAAAAACAGTCCTAGAGTATTTGCGCCAAGGCCGGCCCAAATATGTCTTAGACCCTTTTTGGTCCTCGGCCGAGCTGACCCGAGAATTATGGATCGATATACCCGTATTCTCATTTGGGTCAGTCCGGCCTTGGGCCGTGATCGTGTTGGTCCCAGCGGGTGGATACCGGGTATAAATGTTACAATTTTGAATCACCACAGCCGCGTTTCCAAATATAAAGTCTACCGTACCATAAATGTTACATTCACGGTAAAATTGACGATTTGAGTGAACGTAGAGAGTGTCTTGGTATCCTTCAAAGCTACATTTGTAGAAGACCGATAGGTCCGAGTTCGACCGGAGGGCTACAGCTTGGTGGTTTGATGGACCGGCCGTGTTTTGGAAAGTAATTCCTTGTGCCATGAAACCACTACCTACTACGGCTGAAAAAATGAAGACCAAGGTAATAATAATTATTTAATGATATTTTACAAACGTAAGCATTGTAGACTTAAGAGATAAATTGTTCAAATTTCATAAGCTACCAAATACCAATAATTAGAATAATGAATAATCACATATTTTTGAAAACTTTAGGTTACATTATCGTTGTTGTATTTTATGTCGTTTTACTTTTGGTTCGCTTTAATTATTAACTTAGTAATTTAGTATTAATTAGGTAAGCTAAAGAAAAAAGTTACTATATACTTATCTCAAACCGTTAAAACTTAAGTTAGTGGTTCACATTTCTTTCGATCATAATCTTAAAGCAATTACTGATTAACCAAATATCATTCCTTTTATAGTAACATTTTGTTTTAGATATACAATTTTGTGCTACGTTACCTTAGTAAAGTATAAACATAATTAAGGATAATAAAACAAAGATGAACTTATCCGTGATCAATAAAAGGAGATGATGTTGTAAGATATTCCCTCTTTTCTTACGTTGAAAGACTTAATGTTATTGGAGTTTTGAAAACTACCAATCTAGATGATTGAATATTGTTCTGCATGCAAATTATGCTGGTTAAGAGAACTAGCTAGCTAGGTGCGACATAATATTAATAAATCAGGAATAAATTATATTATAGCAAGTCTTGTATGTGGAAAGCTAAGTCACGCCAAATTATATCTGAATAACTTTTTTATGAATTTGACTTTTAGATGATTTAGACGCATATGAAAAATTAAATTAAACTTGATTGCATACAACTATTTTATACAGTATCTTACTATCTTCTCATTGTATTGATAATGATAATAAATAATAATAATAATAATAATAATAATAATAATAATAATAATAATAATAATTGCATTAAATATTAAATATAATGTGAGGAGAAATATTGATAATTTATCTTTACTTGTTTTCCATTTTATTAACATTTATAATTTAAAATAGACATGCATTAAGCTAAAGATTGGTCTACATGTACGTATGATCTCAGTTTTATTATATGACCCCTATTTTCAAAGACATTATTAATTTAAATTAAACTTACCAACAGTAGCTGATCTATATGTAGTGAAACCACCTCCAACACTTTTGCTTCCAGTGATAATAGTCTTCCCAATTCCATCACCTAAAAACATAATATTCTTCAACTTACTACCTACTTCTATATTCTCCTTATAAGTTCCTGCTTTTATATGAATCACAAACCTCTCACTCCCTTTTCTCCTTGAGGCAGCACTTATTGCTTGCCCTATGGTCTTATAATCCCCTGACCCATCTCGGGCCACCACTAGGTTTGCCTGAGTTCTCGACGATTGCAACAACTTCCGGTCACTAGGCCTAACCCAGTCCGGGAACTCATCCTTGGGCTCATCCCAATTAGTATGCCCTCGAACCTCACTAACCGATCCATGACTATTTATAGCAAGTGCATTTCTAATCATGCATGAAACATTAGCATTGGACAACATGGGCATAATATTTTTGGTAACACCCAAGTCATTAAACCCATTTTGGCATGTTTGAAAAAGGGTTAGGGCTGAACTGAGCCATGCCTGAGTATCAACTCGGGTGCAACTAGGGGTGTTCATAGTCTGGTTTAGATGTTGAACACTCATCTCGTACAACTCCAAACAATCCTTCAACGCCGCCTTTTCTTTCTTATTCTTACAGCTATGTCCTATAGAGTTTGCATTTTGATGAGCTTTTTTAGCATTTTGCATGGCACTTTGCATCATCATATTAAGAAAATCTGATTTTCCTTTGATGGTGGAAGAATATTGGTTATGGGTAAGGTAATATTTGCATTGTTTAGGGTATGGTGTTTTGTTACACCATGATGATAAATTGGGAGGTCCATAACCTTCAACTAATAAAAAAGGAGTAAACAAAAATGTGAGAAATACAAGTATTTTTGCTAAGATAGAATAATAATAAGCCATAATTTTGTTGGGTGATAAATATATGAGAGGTTTATTTAATTTATTTGAGGTTTGTATAAGGTGGTATTTATATTGCATGCATGAGATAATGATTCATGTAAAAGTTAGATTGGATGGCGGTCATAGTCTTATAATTGGATTATTGACAAGCTAAATAAGTAGGTAATGGAAAACTTATTAACATTTCCATTTTTTGGTCTACTTTAATTACTTACGTAATACGTATAGTTCACCACCCAATTGTAGATAGATAGATGTTCTTCAATTTTTTCTTTCTTATGATCAATCGATCAAAAATTTCAATTCAACCTAGGCAATTATATATAACTTTTAGAGTATGTAGTTTGATCAATATGTTTGTCTCTCTTTCTTCCATAGAACTATACTTGGTATGATCAAATTGTTTAATGAACCCGATTTATGTGTAGGTAACCACTAACCAAGTCAGATAGATGAATAATTTTTTGGTGTACTCAATCTTAAAATCAAGTCAAGCTAATTAGAAAACTGATACCGAATTATCTATAATTATTTTTGTTGAACTTAATTAATTTACTTATTTTGCTGAAGCTTTTAACAATAAGTCGCGAGGGGATGATAAACCCTTAATCTTGATATTTACTCAAATAACCTTGTTCAACTACTAGCTTAGAATAACAATTGAAAAAATGTACCAATTTTTAATGGTTGAATTGTGATGATGAAAATTAAATTAAACAGTCTATTGAAAAAATTCATCACGTACATGGTATAATAATTAATAAGGGTGATGCATGCGATTACGTAAATGCCAAGCATAATTTGACAAATATATGAATAACAAGAAATTATATACTCAATATTTCATAAATTAAACATTTATAATATTATATGCATGTGGCACGTTTTAATAGAATTATGAACAAATACGGGTTCAATTTACATCATAATAGAAATCTTTTTGCTCCCAAAATAGGTCTACATTATAGAAAGCTATACAATCATCGTTTTCAGAAATAAATGTCGTCCATAACTTAGCTTTCTTTCACGACAATATTTTTCTAAGCACGTAGAAAACGAAAATTAATATATTTTTACTTTATAAGGAAATTCAAATTAATAGCAAAAGGTGGAGCTAATGACAATTTGATCGAGCAAGCTAAGTATAGGGCGACAGTAAATTGTAAGAATTGAAGTTGCTACATTATTATGAAAGAAACGTGAGGTATAATTGTACGAGTATATAGATGAATACGCGATGACTC